CTAAACGACTTTAACAAAGTTAAAATGGCATTTAACAAAAAACACTTAAAAAGTTATTGCTGCTTATGTTAAGGCATTAATTTGCTATAATCTAATTCAATTTTTATTACAGAGTCCGGGATGCACGTTAGATTTTTCAAAACCTTCAACAGTTCATAGTTTGAAATGGAAAAAGTCCCAAAGGAGATGGGACAGAATTAGCAGAAGTGGTCATCAGTAGTACCATTTTAGGGGCAGGCAGTGTTTCCTGCTTTCTGTTTACTCAATGAGTTTGGTTCCAGGATTGTCTGAGCTGAAGTTTAGGATTGTGAAGGTTCAAGATGAAGGAAAACTTAAAAACAAACCTCCTGGAGATGCCAAGTAAAATTGGTAATGGAGAAGGGAGTCCTAAGACTATTGTCTTTAGCAGTGCATGTGAATGTATGAAATTTGAAAAGCTTGGCCAAGGGAATAAGCTGGGGAGTTTCTGTTTTGATTTAATGATGGTAAGGAAAAGAAGTCTCTGCCAAGGGCATTGCATGTTGAAAAGACCAATGAAAAAATTTTAATCTGCTTCTAACAATTACTGTTAAACATTTTGCCATATCTCTTTTCTAAACTGTAGGACAAAATGTCTGGAAAGAAAGTCTTATTAACAGAATTGTTTAAAAATAAATTAGTTTTTAATGTAGAATGACTTTCATAATTTAACTTCTTTGTGTATTCTGCATGTTTAAGAAGTTTTAATACATTTAATTTTGAAGTGATGCTCTTGTGCAATTTAGTGGATTCCAGTTTTCATCTGCATGCCGGGAAAGATACCAAAATTCCAGAGAAATAATCTATTAAGATCGCTGTTTCAATGTAATTAAATGTATAATATAGGCATTTGAATAAATAGGTGGAATACCATATTCAGAGACCTTAGTAAATGTTGAGATATTGTATTCTCATTTAGCAAAATGAGATACATTGGTAAGAATTAATCTTTTGGAGAACGAAATCACATTTAGGAAATTGAAACTACAAATACAACATAAGGTCAAGATTAAGTTTTAAAATTTTATTTCCAAGTCACTGTTTCTTGTTTCACCCTTCAAATGGTGGTTAAAGTGATATTTTACTTAAACAATCAAATCTGGAATATCTTTCAGAAAATAAGATTTTCTGTTTCTGAATTTCAATTTTTAATAGGATGTCTCCATAGCAACACTTGCCCAAACAATTGCCTTTGTTCTTTAAAAGGGGAGGAAACACCTCCATCTTTGGGGAGGGATAGAATGTAAGAAAATTAAGACAGTGCAGAAGGTAGTCTCACACCTGAGGAGTTGCAGCTGTGCTAATCACCAAAGATTAGGAACAGGCCTGCCCTTAATAGGCCACAGCTGTGTCCAGTAAGAAGGTGAGTGCTACAAAAGAGTGGGTTAGGTGGGTGAGGAGAGAGTTGGTGTTTGTTGGCTGTGCTGGGAAGAAGAAGAAGGAGGAGGAGTCAGTGCTGCAGGGAGCTGCCCATGAGAAATCACCGAGAAGGTATGGGAGCTTTGCAATATGATGACAATGCATCTTTGTGGAATTTATATCTATTTAATATCTATTTCCAGGTTCCTGCTTAATTGTTAGAACTTTGTTTGCTGAGTTGAAGAATTCTGCAGTGTCAAGTTTGCTTGCAGCAAGGTTACTCTTGCTGCATTTTCTCTAGGAAGTAACTTCCTTGAGGGTGGATGGGGCTGTTTTCCACTCCTGTAGTTGTATGTGAAATCTCTGCAGTGATCTGAATTCTTTTAATAATCTAGGGTTGACCTACTGCCAAATGTGAAGGTGCTAAACTTAGTCTTCCTCAATGTCTCTTTGCTTTTGAAAGGCTGCAAATTCCCTTTAAATTGTTACTGACTTTGAAGAATAATAAATAAAACAGGAGCTTCCAAGATGCAAAAGCTTTCATAGAAATACCAACTCCTATCATAGTTTCCCATCCTGTTACCTGTTTTTTATTGCTACATATGTCTTCACACTTAGCTATAAAGGATTACATCAAGTGCAGAAACACTAAGAATGATTAGATATTGGCCAACCAGCTTCCATATTAGTATTTTTTTTATCAAAGGAGAACTGAAAGACTTAAACTATACTTCATAAGTGAATGTAGAAAACACAGTTGATTGGTAGCTGAAGTTACAGTGTCTGGGTGTCTTAAAAAAATATGTAGTTTTTGACAGAAGTCTTAAAATAGTTTACTCTTGCATCCAGTAGCATTTTTTTCTCTGTGATTTTCTGCTTTTTCAAGTTACTGGTTTTTTCTCTCACAATTCCCTGACCAAAATGGATTCTTCAAACTGGCAGTGTTTGTGTTTATTTGAATCATCATCTGATGGACTGAGTAAGATCTGGTTCTCACATAATTATTTAAAATCCAATTTTTGTGGAGGAAATTGTGTGTGGCATTTAAAAATTATTTCTTACGCAAGTGATTCTTTCACATTTATTGTGAAAATTGTACTGTAATCTGAAAAAAGCTAAGAATTCCTAACACTCACAGGTGTCAAGGTAGGGTTGAAGGTCTATAAACACATGTGTAAATATAAAATGCATACAAATGTTTTTTTTTTTTTTTTTAACTTAAAAACTGCACTGGGATTTTTAACTTAGCAGATAAAAGATGTCTGAATGTTGGTGTTACCTCACAGGTTTATTTTATGGAAGCTTTCCATATGATGTAGATTTGATGCCTGACTTTTTTTTTTCTTTTTTTTTTTTAATTCTATGGGAGACCCCCGACCAGTTATTTCCAATGTAGTGAATAGACTTGCTTTATGCTGGGTTTTGCCTCTTGTACTTGTGACAATGAGAACTTGGGCTCGAGAAATGCACTGTTTGTGGCTCAGCTGCTCTCATGCAGAGGGTGGCCCATGGCTGCAGGCAGTTCCCATGGAAGAGTTGATTGGTTTGGGTTGCCTGGGCTGCATCTGGGCTCTCCTCTGATATGTTTTAATGCTTGGGGAGTAAGGTGAGACACTTGCTGTGATTTGCACTTGAAGTTTGATCTGGAGCTCAGAAAAATTGAAATGAGTGGATATTGAAAAAATCAGGTAAGTTTTCTGGGGTGCTTGTGGCATTTCTTTCTTTAACATCTTTTTACTTGAATTGTTTTTCATGTTCATGTCATGGTGCAGCAAGGGGCTGCTGGCTCCCTGGATAGGGGATGTGGGGAGCAGTAGGGGCTCCCTGGGGATAGCAAGGCTGGATCCCACACCAGAGTCTGTCCTGCTGCCCCAGGCAGGGTGTGGGGCAGCCAACAGCACCAGGACAGGGCCCATGGCTGGGCTGGCAGGTCTGACCCCCAGGGACTGAATGGGGTCCTGGGCCCCAGGCAGGGCAGGGGGAGCCCTAGGCTGGCGGGCAGGGACAGTCAGGACTGGTGGCACTGAGCATAACTCATTACTGGCCATGCGCTGGCACTTCCACCGACTCTCGGAATTGTCGTAGTCTTAGAAAGACCAATGGCTCTGTAAAACTTGTATGCACTTAGGAGAAGGCTTAGAAGGGCCTATTAAAATAGGAAAGTGGTAGAGAAGTCAAGAGTACTACAATACTTTAAAACCATATAAAACTTTTTTATTTTACAGATACAATGTTGTGACTCTTGCCTGTAGCTGGATATAGTTCTCTAGCAGCTGAGACTTTAGGTTGTTTTAATTGCTCCTAGGTACTCCTGGGTACCATAAGTGCTCCTAGGTACCCATCCTAATCATTAATGTTTTGAGAAATCAAAATCAGCATATACTGTAGGCAAATACATTGTTGGTGCTTTTTGTGTATCTAATGAGGGCTATATCTTGTTTAACTTCTTAAATGTAACTTATATTCAGAAAATGCATAAAATACAAAACCCACCAGGTTATTTTTTTATATGGTTAAAAAATTTATTAGGAGTTTATAACAAAAAACTTGGAAACCACAAAATTTCAGTATAAAATGTTAAGCACTTTGTATTTCAACCATACTTTTCCTGAATTGGCAGCACCAAATTGGTCTCTGCCTCCTTTTTTTTCTCCCATAAGAAATGCAGCCCTCCAAGAATGCAACTGTTTTCAGATCTTATGCTTAATACAGTTTAGAAGCTTGGTCCCTTTCCTGATGTAAATTTAGTGACTACGGCAGAGCTAAGGAGGAGTCCACATTGGCTCCTGCCATTTTTATATAAACAAAACACATCTTGAGGGGATGTTTGAGACACAATCTCTTTGAAAACTGTATGGTTAAGACATGCATCTGGAAAATTTAGTGGAGTTCAGAGGTTTCTGGCTGTCATTTTACAACAGTTTTAATCTGGTAGGGAATGAGTTTTGATTTCTCTGGCCTCTCTGATAGTGTGTGCGATGCTCTTACATGAGCTACTTCAGCACATTAAACCAACAGAAATTACCCACTCTCTTGGATTTGGCTGGGCTTCTGCTGTTTTAAGAAATTGAAGCAGCAACACTTGGGGTATCAAACACAGTCAAGGGAGAGGTGTGTGGGGAAAAAGTGATGTTGTCATTCCAGTCCCAGGTGCACGTGCACAGATTTAGGCTTAATCCATAATGGAACCATAGCCACAGTAAAGTTCAGTCCAAGCTGCCTTCCCTGTTTCATGTTTCAGTAGGTCATAGAACTTTGGCTCATTTATGTATTTTTTTTTCTGCTAATGATGAAAATATGTGGTTTCTAACTCCATGGCTTCAATAGCCCTATTTTAAATAATGGGACTTAACCTGGAACATGCATTGTGCACAAACCCTCATGAGGAAAAGAAGGAAACACTTGCATGAGTGCAGATGAGATGGATGTACAACAGAATATTCTGTGTGGAAGAAATGATTGCCCTCCTGTTTGGGCCCATAGAGAAGAGTATTACCATTAGTCAAGGGAGCTCTTCTGTACCTCAGGCAGTAGAAATTAAAAGGCTGTATAAAACAGCTGAAGGACCCAGGTTTAGTCCCAACTCCTTTTACATTAGCTGTTCATAACAGCTCTCCATGTGTGCTGTATATCTGTTCATATTGATCCAGCAATAACGTCTAGATCTTACCCACTGTGTTAGAAAGAGACCATCTAGTACTCATCATCATCTTCCACATCTTCTCCTGCTGTTGCAGCTTCCAGTGCAGCCAGAGCTGCTGCAACTTCTGCATCTTCCTCCTCAATTCCTCCACTGACATCTTTATGGTTGGTGTGTGGGGGTGCCTGTGGGACTTTGGTAACAGCCACTGCAGTGATGCTGCCAGTAAGGCTCTCACTCAAACTTGCAGAGTCGGTTTTAAAAGGTTCAATACTGCTCTCTTTCCCAGGCCAGGGTGGGATTGCATGAAGGTCCTGGTCCTGTATTGCTGAAGTACCAGTGTTTTGGTCTGAATGTGTGCAGTTTACTGAAAAGCTGTCTTTTTCAACACAGTTCCCAGTTTGATTGCCATTTTGGGGATAATCAATATCTGGCAGTCTTATGGTATTGTTTTCTGTTTCCAGTATTGAGTTTCCTTTGAGAAAGATGCTGTCTCCTGCAGACTGGGAGTCTGGAATACTGTTAGGCACTTTGCTGGCTGCCTTACTCTGACTGCCTGTCTCTAGGTCAAGCTCTTGTCCAGGCCTATTTGACTCGGTGTAGAAGTCTCTGTTGGATGGAGAAGCCTCTGACTGGCTGGAGGTTCCCTTTTCACTGGATTCTTTCACTGGGCTTGTGTTGGGGTTGAGCATGGAGTGCTGAGCACAGGAATTGCCACCATTGACTGCAACATCAAGCTTTGCAGCACACTTCACAAGGCCATCCTCTTGAGAATCATTGCCTCTGTGATTCCAAAGAGTTTCTGTTGTACTATTTACTGGATTTTTATTTTCTGTTTTGTTTATCTCATCCTGCTGGAGTTCATTTTTGGGTTCTTCATTTTCACCATTCTCTTTGAATTTTGATTTATTGCTGCCTTGTTCATTGTGTTTATAGCTGTTTACTTCATGAATGCATCCAGATGATTGTACCTCTTCTGGATCAAAGATATAGCTGGAGTAAGAAAAATTTGTAAAGAAAGAAATTTGTAAGAAAAAATTGGTAAAGAAATGCTACTTATGATGTTAATCAATTGTAGTTGAAAAGATTAAGCTTCCTTTTTAGGCTGAAGGTCTTGAGGCAGGAGTGTCACTGAACTTTACCTTGGGTCCTGAGAATGAGTTAAACCAAATTAAAATGCTGAATATGTTGTTGGCTGCTGTCTCCTGGGACTGATCATAACTAACCCCTGTACTGAGATTCACCAGGAGCTTAAGGAGGATGTTGGAGAACAGTGTGCTACTCATTGCTTGTTTCCAGCCTTATTTTTTATTTTCTCTGGGGAGCTGATTAGCCAATGAATAGTCATAACATGAATTATAAATGAATATATCCTCATACAGTTGTTAAAATATCTTCAATTTTTTCCTGCTGTTCTTCTTTCAAGTCTTTTGTCCTTTTTTCCCCCCTCCTGATTAATTTTCTTCCTCTTGCTCTATAATTTCCTTGACTTGCCTCTCCCAGGGCCTCTCTCTTTTCTTTATCTTTCTTTTTTCTCTCATAGTACTGTTTTCTCCCCAGTTCCTTACCTCTTCTACAGAAGTGGCCAAGGGGCAGTAGTGACCCTCAAGTGGGGCTGAAATGTGATCTTTGTAAAACTAGCTACTCCCCCTCTCTAGGAGGACTTTTAATATGGGAGTTCTTCCCCCACCTAACAACATTTAACAGCTATGATGGAAGCAAGGAACTGTTGTTCATTTCCATTGCTTGGGAGAAGGGAGGATCTGATGTAATGTGTGCTCCTTGCTTCTCCTGAATTGAGGAAAGCCCATGCTACCTAAATTAGAAAAAACTTTACTAAACAAGAGTTTTCAATGCAACACAATTCCTTTTTTGTGGCTAGGAATTATAGAAGTTTAGGAATTATAGACTTTAATTACAGTAAATTAAAAGAACTTTCATAGGAAATCTGTATGCCTATGCCTAAAGATGCTGTAAACTTTGAAAAAGCTCCAACCTTTTACGGTGGTTAATTAAAGCAACAGGTGTGGGGGAGCACAGACACATGGTTTAATGCTGTTCTTTTATTCAGTCCAAGAAACTCTTGTTCTATTGTACCTTTGTATCATTTTGCAGCACCTGCACCCCATCTGGATTTTCCTTAATCTGAAAAGAGAGAAAGGGAGGGCAAGGGAGAGACAGAGTGAGTCAAGCATTATGAAATTAAAATATAAGCAATTGCATTGAAAATGATGCTCATGTTTAGAAGGGTTGTTAGCTAAAAACAAAGATGTCTACACAAGAATGGATGGAGTATGGTTCAAGGTCTTTGTAGGTTGTTGTCATGCATTGGCAATGGTCTTTAATTGGGGAAAAATCTGGGGAAGAATTTAACAATTCTTAGATAGTGATGTTCTTTCAGAATAGCTTCCTAAGCAATTTTATGATTGGGAGAATTGCAAGTCAGTGTATTGGGTGTGGGTTGTTGGTTTGTGGTTTAGTTGGGTTTTTTTTCCTGTTGGTAAAGTTCTCTACCATGAATTTGCCCAGTTGTTTTTTGAAACAGTAAACTGCTAGCATCTACCACATCCTTTACTCAGTAATTTCACAGACCAGCCTTGCTTGTGTGAGCAATCACCTGCTTTTGTTTGACTTGAACCTGTTCTTTACTAGTAGTATTTGGTGCCTTGTAGTTCTGGTATTAGAAGAAGTAGTGACCATCATGTCCAATTGTCACCATAGGAGGTGGTGACAATTGGACAAATGTCACCCATACTGACATTGTTTTGTGCCTATGAACTGTCCTTGTGGTGTTCTCTGAGTCTTTTTGCATTTTAACATCCTATTAAAATTAAGTGTGGGAACTACAAATGCAGAGTTCTCACGGTGTTTGAAACCTGAAAGAAGCAAATTTATTCTTTCCTAATATCTTCTTGTTTCCACTCACTTGACTCTGTGACATCCACTGAGCACTGAGGTGACATTTTTGTGGAACTTTCTCTTAGTGAGGCACAGACAAATTCCTGGAATGGGCATTTTGTTATAAGCAGTATGTTGTACCTCTATTTTGCTACAGTAAAATTCCAGAGTTTCACTAGAGCTAGCAGACTCTCTGTTTTGCTACACTATAGCTTGACCCAGTGAAATGCTAAGAACAATCTATTATATGGTTCTTATGCCAAAGTCCTCTATTAGGAGAAGAAATGGTTTGCTAATTTGGACCCTTGAGAGCCTTCCTGTTCTGAACTTAAATTTGTGTCCCAGATCTGAACATCCAAAACCCCTAAAACACCCAGTATTCTTTATGGGTGGTGGCTATCTTGTTTCAAGGTAATAAGTCAGGGCAGGTTGTTTAATATGTTTTGTCCACTGTTATTCAGGCTCTTTCTTTCTCTTGAGATTCTCTACAAACTCGTGTACTTTTTGCCAATGCCTAAGGACAGTGGCTCACTTCCCATAAAACAGAAATTGATGAAGCAAGGTCAGGGTATTTTCTGGAGTAATTTATTTACAAAACATCCAAGGAAAGTAGTATTGATTTATTCTTCTCAGGCATGGCTTGAACTGCACACTGGCAATTATGCTAGCAGAAATGTAAATCCAAACAGTTCCCCTCTAAAATCTGAGTACTTCTGGTGTTAGCACTGAACTAAATACCTGATGTCAGATGTCCCATTCTTGGAGCTTCTGATGGCCTACAGTCATGCAGCAGCTGGGTTTATGCTAGGGTATAGCTGCTCATACCTATGCTTTTTGTCTTTGTGTACACATGAACTGTTCTGAAGCAGAAATTTCTATCAGGAGTAGCCAGGTTGATGTAGCTGAGTGCTTGTTGGAATGGCTTTCAAGCCAGCTGCTTCTCTCCCTGAATTGCAGACTCCCTTCCAGACTCCCCTCCCTTCTCCTCTGCCTGTACTGTGCATTCTCACCCCACATACCTCAGCAGCATCCCAGCAGGAATTCTGATACAGGGTGTTTTGTCTGAAGAGGATTGCCCTCTGAAGTGCCCACACAGCCTTTGGCTTGGCTTTAAAGTTTATAGGTTTGAACTCAGTTCTGATTTGTATGTAGACCAGCTCCAACAACAGATGTTGCTTCTAGCTGAGAGTGGTCACTTCAAGTCAGGGTGCTTCTGCTTAGAGTTTTATCTGACAGATTTCCTACTTGGGGATTTTATTTACAAATTTTTTGATTATTTTAAAAAAGAAAAAAAAATACTGCTTATAGGTATTAAGCATTGAAAGTCCTAATTACTGGCTTTTATTTTGTTGTAAAGATCTTTGTGATTGTCATAGAAGGCAATTATAAATTGAAGTTACTGTTGAAGTTTTCACAGAAAAAACACTCCTGTTTTTTGGTGTGTGTTTGTGTTGTTTGGTTTTTATTTTTTTAATTACAGCTGCTGTTGGAATTCTCTCTGCAGCTACTGCATTATGCTTTTCCACTGATTAGTTACAACAGGATCTGTCCTGTGGCATGAATAAACTATTACATATGGAAAGCAGAGTACATTGTATTATCTTATGAATTATTTCACATCCCTGAAATAGGAATATAGTTTTACAATGTCACTGTCTAAACACTGGCTTTTTTTTTCCCTTGCCCTTTCCTTCCATTTATGATAATCTTTCAAGTCAAGCTGGAAAATAATTCTGGGGAGCAAATTGCTTTTATAGCATGAAAAATCATGCTTTAATCCTACTTATCTTGTTTTAGATACCGAGCTCTAAAGACTTGTGTACTGTGTGATGTTCATAGTTGTGTTAATGGATAAATAATACTAATAAGCTGCTGTCTGGAGCCGTTTGAGTCAAGCAATCGCTACAGGCTTGAAACAAAAGAACGTTAGAAACTTCTACAATGGATGATGTTAACTGAATTTAGAAGCATTGCATCCTTATCTCATCAATTTAGCAGCACAACATATCTGACAGAACAAACATTTGATAATTTCAGAAAAACATGACATGATGGGAGATACTGTGCTGTAGAATTCTTTGGGGGTTATTTTCCCTCTGGGAAAAGGCTGCCTGTCTAAAGTGGCAGTAAAATCCTTGGCTTTAACATTCAGATTCTCAGAATTGAGATCAAACTGCCATTAATCCTGGATATTATTCTGTCTTGACCATGAAATTTCTGAAGGCCTCTAAATGTCTGTCACTAGTTATTATGCAGTTACTTAATCCTGAGCACTAATAGATCACCTGGCATTAAAGCTCTGCAAAAATATTAAGTAGAGATTTTTTAGAAGTGTTTTTAGATGAGGACTGGACCACTTGGAGTGTTTGCAGGAATAAGACGGAGCTGTTGAGGTAAAAGGAATGAAGGAGGCCTAGAATTAATTTTTTTTACTCTCCCAAATTTTGAACTTGAATTTTTCAGCTTTCAGTAGCTGCTGAATCTCCTGAAGTGTGTCTCTGTGGATGAGCTTGTACCAGGTTCTACAAAATAATCAGATTCTTGCAGTATGACAGTGTGGAATAGCCTTGTGGCTTGCATATTCAATATCAATGCTTGTTTCATTTAAAGTTATTATTCTTTTCTTCAATGAAAGAGATGGAAGAGGCCCAGCTTTGTGTGTTTACCCCAGCCACCCCAGAAAACCTTTAGCTGACTGAATCAAAAGATTGTCTAGTTATAATGTGCTTGCAAGGTATTAAATAAGTGTTCACAGAGAGACAAGGAAGACCTGATATTATGAATGACTGACTTTGATCCTTTAAAGGAATATGATACAGAAGAGCAACTTCTTTAAAAAAAGTTGGAAAAAATTTGAACAATGGAAGAAGGTAGTAATTAGTCTTAGTTTGAGGAGAGCAGGACACAAATCCCTTCAGTAAAACAATTGCTGAAAAAGGGAAGGTGGTTAAAAACACTTATGGTGGCACTGGCTAAGATAATGAGGTGGAACTTCTCTTTTAAGTGTGAGACCTTGGTGAAGATAACAAGAATAATGTCTGACTCCAAACCCACAGCCTTGTGTTTCAAGCCATGGTGTGCTTTAAGAGAAATCTGCTTTTCTTTATCAGATTTGAGAAACACAAGGTATCTGACTCTAACTTATGTTATTACATAACTCATATTGTCTATTTAAACTGTGGCTGTGTTATGAGTAAATAAAAGGCAAACAAGAGATAATGTCATGAAAAGGGAAGAAGAAATATTTTTGAGTCATAAAAATGGTTTGGCACCTTTCTCAATATTTTTGGAAGTTTACATGGAAACAGAAAAAGGTCAGTCTTTTCTTTGTTCATGGTGTATTTTTTCTTCTGTCTTGATTTTTATTTTTAAATTCCTTTTAGACACCTCCAGGAGCAGAGGCAGAAAGCTGAGGGAGACAATATTAAAGTAGCTTCTCTAGTAGATCTCAACAGATAAACTCTGATTTTGGATCATTATTTTTGATCCAGTTTGTTTGTTTGTTTGGAGTTTTCATCCCACAGCCCCTGATGCTTCTATTGCTTGCCTTTAACTCTCCTCCATCCTTTCCCACTCTAGATTACCTTAGCAAGTAAGGAGATTTTTCCTACATGGGTATGATCTGGGCTGAGCCTGGGTGGTGCATCTCCCAGGGCCCTGAGGCACCTCCTTCTGATGACTTTTTCTAGTAGAGGCATCTTTCAGACTTGAGCCTGCCAGCGCCTTCCCCATCAGTTTGTTGTGTTTTGCACTCCTCAGTAAAACCTGTCCTTTCTGAGGATACTGCCCTGAGGTACCATTCTCTTTGCCTTGGACAGAAATCCTTGTTCATCAAAATAAAGTCTGTCTGCCTCACTAGTAATGCAAACATAATTGACTTTGTTGGTATTTCTTTGCTAACATAGATGCCAAATTCTAACCAACTAGGAGTCATATGCACAGAAGCAAGTGTGGGAAGAGAAAGTGTTTACATAGAAATATGTGCAGAGGAAATATAGAGAATGTGGGGTGGGAATAGCCTTAGAGAGCTCTAGCACTTGACAAGCTTCTAACAGTTTGCCTGCTGTGCTAAGTAGGCATTCACATATCTCAGAAGATTTCAGAGACTGCTCTCAGCATGTTCTGGGTCTGACAGAGGCTCAGATGTGCCTAGGCTGGAGGAAGGAAGTGCCATGTCCATGCTCATTGCAGGGCAGGTGGATGAGATGCCCTTTAAACTCCCTTTGAACCCAATCCATTCTGTGAGT